TAATTTTTTAATTGCAAAGGGAGATGGCAATGAAAATTGAAATAAGAAAAAAAACAAACTAGATATCTTTATTGGAAAACTGCATTGCTTAGAACACACCCTTTTAGGTGATTATATCCTTTTCATATGGGTGGGCTATTTTACAAATCTTTATGGTGTAGAAGATTTACAGCAGTGCAATATAATTCTCATCTATGGACATGCAAATCAATTATTTCTGATGGGTGTTCAATTGACTTCTCCTCCTTGCATGGAGAAAACCAGTTTTATGTATATCTGTACAGAATTTCAACTTTTCTTTGGTACATATAAATCTGCTTCCTGACTTCCCCTTTGAACTGATTGTTTCATCTATCTATTTTCCCTATGAAGTTGAGTTAAATAAAATCTTTAACACATGAATAAAAATGTATGAAGCAATTTTATATTTCCTTGTACAAATTAGAAACTAAAATTGATAAATGTTGAAATTAATCAGACTTCATATGCCTTATTCTTAGCATAGCAGAAATGCCTCACATTTCAATGAGCTTAACTACCATAAACATGTTTTTTTTTAATAACTTTAAATCAGGTCTGATATCTTATCAAGTTTACACTTTTAAACCATCTTTCTATTCTGAAGTGTGTATCACCATTTCCCACTGTTGCACACTTACTTTCCCAGGTTTGTTAAATGTCAACAGTAATGGAGTTTGAGTCTCTGTAGGCAAGGCTATATTGATGGTAAGACTCAGCCACAGAGATTTCTTCATTGAGGTTCATCTCCCTATCAGACTCTAAGACATTCTTTATCAAGTTCCAAGAAGGAATTGAACTTCATCTAGGTGAGACCACTCCATTAGCAAGAGCATGAAGCTTGACAGCACATGGCATATTTAAGGGGATTGTGTTCCTCAGGACTAACTAGGATTTATGTGGGAGGGAAGCAAGAAATTAGTTGAAAGGTAGATTATAAAATGTATGCAAAATTTTTCTTGTCTTCCAGAATCAAAATATATCTTCCTATTTTAATGGTAATCTCTATATTCACCTTTCATTATATTTTAAAATGTCAGAGACCTCTAGCTAAAGTAATAGAGTATATTTGGCAATAGACAGCTGATTTTCAAATCACTTAGCATATAAATTCTGCAAGGTTTTTTTCTCTTCTTATTTTACTGATGTAAAATTCTAGGTTTTTAGACTAGCAAACTTTCCTCTATTTGTAATACAATACCCTTTTACTTCCCATATACATAAATGCTAAATAAGCATATTTACTTCCAGGCTTTGTGGCTAATACTGTATCTCCAAATATAGCTTGTTTATAAAGCATTTTTCAAATCTAAATTTAATCTGAAAATGATGAGTAAGATTTCACAAGATGTTCTGAATAACTCTGTACTTCAGCTGAACCTAACGCCATTTTACTGTTTTGCATTGTTTTTAGTGCATATTCTAAATGACTCATTTCTTCAGCTTCTGCTCAATAATTTCTAAAAGAGTTCAATTAAATTATGCACAGTTTAAGTTCTTAGTATTCCAATTACTTTTTCCTTAGCAGTTTTAAATTTCATAATATCCACAGAGAAAAAGATTGAATTAATAGTATTATTTTACACAGAAAAGTTGAATTTTATGTCTTTATGTTGGTAATGTAGTTTGTTTAATTCAATTTTTGGCCAGGGAAGCACTTTTGTGTCATCAGAAAATAACAACAGCCCAAGAAAGCATCTATCAATTTGCAAATTGTCAAGGCATTCTGGTCACTGGAGTGTGAAGGTGGACGGAAGAAGGAAGCATGAAGGCTGGTTACAGTTGTGTTTAACACTATTTTAATATTGAGAATCACAGCTGAAATACAAGTCAGTTAACTTACTGAATTTAACTCTAGCCTTTGGGTTCAGTATTGGAGATAGAGTTTTTAAATGCTTACATTGATTCTATGGTTTTAATTAGACTTGGGACCATTTTCTAGATTCTCTGAATAAGAAGTGGTGGTCTGAGTCAAAGCTGATATGGTTGATGTGTTTTCCTTATAATTATCTATGAACTAATATTGGAGCCTTTGTTATTTTATTTCTTTAGTTATTAAGCAGAGTTATTAAATAATAGTGAGTTTTCTTTGTCTTAAAATGCTTGATGTTTGCCTTTCACTTAAAAATAAATTTGTTCACTGTAATTTAATTTGTCCAAGATACCTTGTATAAAGAAATCAAGAAATACCCATGTACTAAGAATTAATGGCTACTGATAATATTCTTTCTTTCTTT